TTTTTTTTTTTTTTTTTTAAATAAGTACACCTTCTTCTTTTAAAAAAAATTATAAAATATTATAATTTTTCTAAAAATTTTAATTTTACACTTTTAACTTTTAATTTACTACTTTCTTCTTCTTATTCACACTTTTTTTTTTCTTTCAATTTTTACATGCTACCAAAATAGGTGGGATGAAGGAAAAATAAGGGGGTGCATGTAAAAATTGAAAAAGGAGAAAAGATATGTGAAAAAAAGTACTAAATTAAATGTTGTGGATGTAAAATTAAAAAATTTAAAACAAAAAATTAAGAATATTTTAAAATTTTAATTATTTTTTTTAAAAGGAGGTGTACTTATAGAAAAAAGGAGGTGTATATATCATGAACCTTAGCCTTACTCTTTTTTTTCTTTCTTTTTAAGAACAACATAATAAGTGGCCCATAAGAAAATTGGAATAGACCGAGTCAACTCCCATACATGCATTATTTCATATAGATCGCATTTGTCCATTTAACAACTCTAAGTAAAATCACTTGTCTATATATTTTTCTTTTCGATTTTTTTCCTTTTATTTAAAAGGATTTGTGATTAAAATTTGATATCTTTCTTTTAATTTTCTTTTGATGTTTTAACTTTTTGGCCGAAAGAAGATGAGCGATATATATATATATCAAGATTAATTTATATTGAATACGATACTATGTCATTTATCAACTCTCTTTTTTTCTTAAAAAAAAATGAAATTAACAAATGAAAAATAAAAGAGAAATTTATGTTATCTTATGATACGACAAGATAGAGATTGTCGTAGAACTATATATCAAAATGGACCACCTTTATATTTACTCTATGATGTACCTTCTGTGTTAAATGATTTTATTTTATTTTTTATTTTTTATTTTCTCCTTATGTTCTCTATTGCTGTTCTCTGTTCTCCCTTTCCCACAGCATTGGATGTAAAAATATGAAAGACACAAGGGTGCACTTTGATTCTCACAGTGGATGAGGGAAAGACATATATCCTCATCAAGCTACTACCATTTGCAAGAATATTCAATCGCTTGAGTTTCGAAGCAACTTGTGTAACAATGATTTCCTACATTCAACGAATTAATTATTCTGCTCGATCCATTCATTTATGTGCATATTTATTTTGGGTTTCATTTGATGATTTTACTTTGCTTTGCTATGAGACAAGGAAAGATTACTTAAAGACAAGGTTAAAGATGAAATTGACTTGTTAACAAAACAAAAACAAAAAAAGTTCAACTTTTGTGGGAAATTAGCATGAGAATGGAGGATGCAACATTGGAAAAGGAGGAGGCAACGTAGAACAAAGGAAAGAGAAGGTGAAAACAAATAAAAATTAGTTTGGTGCATAAGATACACTATATTATTGTATATATGAATGAGATGTATGTAATGGTTAACAAAAATAATATATTATATATGAAATTTTTTTTAATAATTATATTATTGACACAAAATATTCATTAGTTTTGTTAATAATTAATTTTAGTCGTAAAATTAATTAGCTACTTTTAATAATGTATCTTCTATCAATCATTTTTTTTATACACAAAATTAAAATTTAAAATATTATTTAATAAGATCGAATAATATTACTTATATCAATAATTTGTTAGTAAACCTTATATGGAACTAGTCCACGATAATATTCTCCTAATTAAATGACCATAATGAACCAATACTTGTCATGTAAACCATATTAAACCGTAAAATTAATTGTAAGTGCACCATACACTTATAACCATTAGCACTTTTTTTTTCACCATCTTAATACTTACCGGGAATGATGTTACTACTATTCAACAAGTCAAAACCTTTCTCAACAACAAGTTCAGAATTAAGGATATTGGAGAGCTCAAATTTTTCTTGGGGCTTGAGTTAGCTAGATCTTCTAAAGGCATATCTTTAAACCAAAGAAAATATGCTCTTGAACTCTTATCTGATGCAGGTCTTTTGGCAGCTAAACCAGTTAAGACCCCTATGGATTCTACACTTAGATTATCCAAAGATTCTGGCACACCATTAGATGATATCTCATCTTACAGAAGACTCATTGGAAGGCTGCTCTATTTGACTACAACTCGCCCAGATATTACTTATGCTGTCCAACAATTAAGTCAATTTCTTGATTCTCCCACTGATATCCATCTTCAGGCAGCTAACCGTATTCTTAGATATATCAAATCTTGTCCTGGTAAAGGTCTTTTCTTTCCTTCCACATCAGATTTCAAGCTTCATGCTTTCAATGATTCAGATTGGGCTGGATGTCCAGATTCTAGGCGCTCTGTCACAGGTTATTGTATCTTCTATGGTGCATCTCTCGTTTCTTGGAAAACAAAGAAACAAACAACTAATCTCTAGTCGATGTGGGACTTGGGTTTTTCCCAATATAAATCGATGCCTCACTTTTTTCCTTTAGTGGCCGACCCCCAACGTGAATGATCCTGATCTATATCACATGTGAGTTTTCATCCCTTGGATTTAGGGGGGGAAAGGGTTTTGGCACATAAAACACGTGACTGAATAGATTGAATGGCAATAAATGTTGTAAGCAACTTTTGATATGAAATAGGCGCACAGTGAAGCCAACAAGTAGTTGTCTTGTTTCCTCTATAAGATATGGTAGAACCCTACAAAGTCTCTCGTCCCTTTCTCTCCTTTGTCTAAAAGAAAACCTTGGAACCTTAAATTGAAGTTTGTTACATCGTGAATGACATCCTAATATAATGTTGTCATTTGCCTAACTTGGTGCTAAAAAAAGTGAAAAAGTAAATTAGATCCTTATCCTCGAAGAATCAAGATCAACACCAGCAATAAATATAACAAACAAGATGACGTCAATTGTATCAAATTAAATGGCTATTAATATTAGGAATTTTCTTATTTGACTAAATTTCTTATATGATCTAATGTAGGGTGATTGTGAGTTTTTTATTTTTTTAAGTTAAAATAAAAATGAAATAATTTTTTACTCAAATTCAAGGCACTTTCATATTTATTTTTAAATTCAATAAAATTGAATTGTGAATTTAATCTAATGTTACAATAGATAGTAGCTCTTCTTATTAACAGTTGTCACAACTACTTTGATATCATAATCATCAATACTACCATTGCTATATTGGTACCATCATTATTATCATCGTTAGTATTGTCGAGATTATCATTATTGCAGTCATCAGCAGTAGTACCAATAATACTATAATTATTATTGATGCTGTCACTACTACTCATACTATCTGATTAATCTAGTTTTAACAAGATGGGAGACATTTAAAGTAAAAATTTAAAATCATCCCGATTTAACCCTTAACATAGCACGTAAAGAAAATTGTTATGAAAAATAAGAAATATTAGCAACATCATTTTTAACTATCACTTTTAATATTCTCTACGATTAACTAAAATTTATTGAAAATCACTTCATCAAATTAAATGTAAGACTTACACAATTTATAATTTTTTAATAAATCTTAATAGTAACTTGAAAAAAATGTAATGAATTATCATTGAAAAAGTGCGTAGATGAGAATTTAAGAGGAGCATGTGAACAGTTTTCAGCTATGAACTCATCATCGTGAAGAATTAGGTTTACGTCGGGGTCCAATATGTTGCATGGCCACATGCACCAAAGTAGGTAATAGGGAAAAGTAGAGGTGAGTTCTTGACAAAAATAGACCTTTGGTTGCGATTTCATGCATCTGTGTCGATTTCTTATGGCTTTAGTTAGGCAGTGTGAGGGCAATTTCTTTTTCCAAATTGGAAATGCAAGTTCATGCCCATACTCGTCTTGTTGTCCTTTCCATTTAAATGAATTAATTTTTTTAGACTACTATACTATTTCTATAGCTACATAGCTCATGATGACATACATGTTCTTACATCATTTACAAGAAGAAAAAAAAGTAATAATACACTTGTAAAAATTCATATAATAATTTGTATATATAAGATCATTTTTGTATTTATCTTTATGTGACATTAATAAGTGTATGAATTTGTAAATAATACTTATATATAATTCATATAAAAATTCGTATAAATTTATTTTATCTCTATTTTTCTCTATCATATTATTTATTACATGTTGAATTTATATACCTTTTTTTCTTCATTATTCAAATTATTGTCCAATTTTTATATATGTATATATTATGTTTCTCTATTATCTTGATACGAGAGAAAAGTAACTTATGATAAGCATTAGGTAGACAAGTTTTTGGCCTAGATACACAAAGTAACAGTCTGTTAATGAATAAATAATTATTTTTATAATAATTTTTAAATAATTATTATAAAATTAACGACATAATAATAATAATAATAATAATAATAATAATAATAATAATATTATTATTATTATTATTATTATTATTATTATTATATATATATATACTTATATTAATTTAGTTTGTGACTATAAGTATATAGACGATTTACTCTTTATTATTATTAACTCCCTCTATCAACTATATGTACCAATAAATCTGTATTTAAACTAAGTAATTAAGGACAGCTAATATAATCATTAGGTAATTGATCTGCAGTAATTAATTAGCTACATATACTTGAGACAAAGAAATCACTTAAACTAGGATTTACCAAAATACGAGCATGCCCGCCATTGATAATATAATTAATATGCTTCAACGTTTGGTTCTCAAACACATCTTATATGGTACGTACACCTATCTCATTTACTATAATATGATCGATGCACATATAGTATATATATAAGCTCCTATATATATATTTTAATTCTGAAATCATCATGCTTATATGGTAACGCCAAACTTTAACAACTCATATAAACAGACATAATGATGTTATTAAGCCTGACACACTATAAGAAACTTATGTATTTATGTCATTATATATATATATATATATATATATATATGATTTATATATATAGGCATAATAATATAGCTAGGTTTAATCCCCATTGAGTAATTGCATAGACCAGATATCCTCCATGCTCCAATAGTTATTGTTGTTGTCATCATTGGTACAGCAACTTGACTGATCAGTGATTATAGGAAACTGAGTTGGAAAATATGGCTCCAAAGTTACTGGTTGGTATGAAGATGAAGAGTAAGTCTCAATGGGATGTGCCATGGTGGAAACTTTGCTAGTGCTTGTGCTTGCTTGATGATGGTCATTTATCTCTGAAATATTAACCTGTTGTTGTAGATTCTCAGCTTGCTTAATGTGCTTCTGTATCCTAGTTCTCCAAAAGTTCTTAATCTCATTGTCGGTTCTTCCTGGAAGATGCTTTGCAATTTTGGACCACCTGCATTAACATTGTTGCATATAATAATTACAAATTACAATGATACTAACAAAATAGGAACTTAGATTCTGCGCATGTATAAATGATTGCAGAATGAGTTAATGTGGTCAAGCAATTATTTAGTTATACATTCATAATTAATAGTAAAACTTACGATGATAGTAACAACATTAAAATTTACTTTAATTCTCAATCTCATTTGGTGTGGTTGAATTATATATATGCCTTTAAGATTACTTATCATAAGCATCTACTTATTATTGCTAATATGTACCTTGGCTGCTTGGCATATCAAACATTCAGGACAAGCATGTTTATCAATGAGACAAAGAAAATGCAATTAAGTTAATTAAAATTGTGGAACTTCTAATCATGATATATGATATGAAATACTATCACGTGAAAGAAATTTCTTAAAAAGAAAAGAATAAAGTTGATATTAATTAAAAGTTGTCAATTAATGGGGAATTGGGGGTGTCACATTTTACTGGTAAATAATAAGCAAAAAGGTGATAACACCAATATTGAATACTATCACGTGTGTGATATATTGGGATGCATGTTCCTTGGCTGAGAATAAAAGTGTTGCATGTTAGTCTCTCGCATATATAAAGACTATGGTTTACCATAAGATGCTGAAGGTCCCTTTGTTGGTATGATGCCTTTGCTTTGCAGCAAATCAAAGTTTTGTGATTCCAAAGGTCACCAAAATCAAATTCTCAACGCAAGCCTCAGGTAGCTATAGAAAGTGTGATTCAATTCAAACATTTCCATATCTCTCTTTTATTCATGCATATGTATAAACCCTCTTAATCAGTGATTAAAAACAGTTTTTGTTGCGTTTTACACTAATACTAATTTTCAAGGAAATATTTTTCTACGTATTACCTCATAAAATTCCTTCTTTTCTTGCATTTTGACTCTATTAAACTTACTTCCCTTCTATTTGTTCAAGAAAAGTCACGTGGTCCTAAATATGTAGCTGCAGGATTTCTTCTCCTAGCCAGTTATATTTATGTCTTTTCGTTCTTAAATAAGAAAGATGACATATGCAAATACTTATCATTTTTTTTTTCTTTCTATCACATCATATCGCTTTGTTGTATACACACTTTTTTCTTCTCTCCCTTTCTCTAAGAGTTGAATAGGGTAGGAATGTGCATTGATAATTTTTCCTTAAATAATTGAGGTTTTTTTGTTGGTTGGGAAGAAATTGAGGTGTTCTAGAGGGTAGAACTAACTAGTATGTCTCTGCACTATGCAATACTATCATGAAGGAAACTCTTTAGTACTATTGTACTTGCATTGTCAAAAAAGCCCAAAAATGCATGCTACTATTGGATTGGGTTTATTTCATCCAAACTCCTTGAAAATTTTGTCTTGTGATCTAAGATTGCTATTCTATATGCCCCACTTCCAATTCCATGAACTCATCCTTAAATAGAAGCTGATCTAATCCAAACTAGTCGGTTCAATCCTTATATACATAGAGAGATAGCTGGTTGTAAAATGAACTATAGAAAATCAAATAGCTTTGTTAGTATAAAGGTTTTTTTTTTACGAGAATTGTTAATAAAGGTTATAATGCATAATATAATGTTTTAGAGTGTATAAAGGTGTTGGAATATCCATTATACTTTTTTTAATAAATATTTTGTCTTAAAGAAACTAATAATTTATATTATTTAGCGAGGCCCACCATCTTTCCTAGTTCATGTATTTGTTGTTTAGGAAAAATTGTTTTACTTTTATTTTTAAAAATTCTTATAATAACTTGACTTATAGGAGTTCCCCATTTTTACTCAGCCATATATCTTAATTATTCTAGTCTTAATATTAAATTATAGCAAAGCTAAAACATTTCTCATAGCCAACTCCCAACCTTTGGAGCAAGGATACTTCGAAGTACAAAATTTATATAAAAAAATTATATAAAAAACCAAACTTCCCTCTTAATGAAGAGGTATTGTCCGTCTAAAAAAATTTCATTTTCAAACAATTAAAAATTCATCATTAATATAATTTTTTAAGATGATTATAAAAAAATAATCACGTGATATTTGTAATTAAATGATAGTGTAAAATTTTTATATTTTTGTAGATAATCTATTTTCTCTGTAATAAAATTGCTGTGAAAAATTAGGGGGAAAAATAATACAAAAAGAAAAAAAGAGGATGACAATTTTAATATATTGATGCCTCTTGATTCCTTATATTCTTCAAGATCTAAATCTCCTCACTTATAAGAGAGGGATTGAATGAAAAAAAAAAAAAAAAAAAAAAAAAAAAAAAAAAAAAAAAAAAAAAAAAAAAAAAAAAAAAAAAAAAAAAAAAAAAAAAAAAAAAAAAAAAAAAAAAAAAAAAAAAAAAAAAAAAAAAAAAAAAAAAAAAAAAAAAAAAAAAAAAAAAAAAAAAAAAAAAAAAAAAAAAAAAAAAAAAAAAAAAAAAAAAGGAAAACATATAACATATACCTTTAAATGAAAACTCTCAATTTCTTCCATATGGATATAAAATCACAAGCAATAATTTTGACAATTCAGAAAACCTTATAGAAACTTTACATAAGGAATATTTTTTCAAAAAAGAAATAAAAAACATGTGTTGCAATCTTTTTGACAAAAATTCTCCCAAAACCACAAAGTTCTCTCCCCACTAAAATAATCTTCCATGACCATACGAAGGCTGCCTTATACATGACATGCTTCCAAACCAAACACTCCATGAATTATAGAAGAAAGCCAAGACTTTCTTCTATATATCTTTCAAATGTAAAGATCAATCTAGAAATAGGAAATATGCACTAAAAGTGTTTTTGAATATAATATGTATTCACCTATTACCCCACTTTGCATGAAGCTCTACAATCAAAAGTTGTTCCTCGTGAGTAATATTCCCTCTTCTAACATCAGGACGAAGGTAGTTTAGCCAACGAAGTCGACAACTCTTCCCCGTACGTTTAAGACCTACAAAATGATTATGATTAATGAGTATCACTCTAGCTACGATTTATGGAAGAAAATCATGGAGAGTAATCAATTATTAATATATTAATATATAATTAAAAAAAGGGTGGGATATATTCACCAGAAGCCTTGGCTAGAGAGTTCCAAACACCTTCACCATGATTTGCAATATAGTTGATCAAGATCAAGTCTTCTTCCATGGTCCATGGCCCCTTTCTCACTTCGGGATCTTGAGATAAGTTGCATGGTTTTTTGTCCATTATGTTTTGTTTGCATATGGAGGAGAGAGATAGGGAGAGAGAGAGAAGAAAAAGAAGAAGAAAAGATCATGGAAATCTTAATGAGTGTGGAGGGTTTAAATAGAGGAGAATTATAAGATGATTAGTTACTTGTAGTAATGCTTTTTCATTAGTAATTACTCAGGGTTTTACGTGCCTAACTATGTTAATCATATAACATGCATGCATGCATGAATATCCAAACTAATTAATATATATGTTTGCAAGCATGACTATTATCTTGGATAAACTAAGCCAAAAAGACATTATTGCATCGTAAGCATAGATGTGTTGATGTTTTTTTCATATTAGGAAAGGAAATCAGATATTTCACAAGAGTCCCACTGGATTACAGAAGAAGGAAACTTATAAACCTCCTTTAAAGTATTAATATACAACACATTTAAAAAATAGTTTAAGATCAGTAATTAAAGGAATAAACTTTCACAACACCGTAATTTATTATTTGTGAATCAAATTCCATTAAAATTTGATTATTTAATTAATAATTATCAATGTCAAATTTTATTATAATACATTAAATAATTCTTATGATTTTATCTGGGACAGAGCAAATATACATACATTACAGAATTGTTCTAACAATTTCAATCTCTGAAACATATATACTACGTACATACACGTACGAACGTATATAATTAAATTACATATCAATATTTATTTCTCTTTATTTTTTAGTTCTTAAAAATTTTAACATTAATTATATAATTGAAGTATCTGATGACTGATGAAGGATGGAAATTACATTGCTTTTAGGAAATATAAAGATTGAAAACAAATAAAATTTAAATAAGTGCAAAAAAAATAAAAATTCAAGGATTAAAAATTATTTAATATTTATTTATAAAATAAAAATTCATTTCTTCATAATTGAATCAACCTCATGTTCATATATCATACAGTAATAATAGGTTTCCTGTTAAATATATATGTTTCTGTACAAGTTTATGACTGACCCATTTATTAAAAATTAATCAATTAGTTTGTGTATACAATAAATAAATAAAATAACCGACCATTAATCCGAACACGACTTCGATGTGCAGTATTTTAATTAGTTTTTTAGTGTAAACAATCATGATGCATGGTCATATTTATATGACTAGAAAATTATAAACCGACCCATCATTTTATTTTATAGTAAAAGAACGTGATGGTATTGAAAATAAATATACATACTGGAAACGAAAGAAAGTGATGTAGGCAACATAATTAATAAAGCGAAAAGAAGCAAACAAAGAAAAGGTCACAAATTTATATTCAGTTATATATCCACTCCCTTATTATAACGGTATAAAATTAATTAAAATCTATAAATATCAATGGTATTATTTTTAACTAAAATTAATATTTTATTTGAATAAAAATCAAACTACATATTTATATCTATTGGCATTACAAGTCTAAACAATACATCGTATTAAATGTATTTTGAGTACTCTATTATTTATAGAGATTTTTATATTAATGAAATTGTTTATTAATATTTTTTACTGCATAGATATCACACTGTAGTTAGAATGTAAAATCTCATGTAAACTAACTTTTACTATTGAGTCAAATCTTAGTGAGTTAGATTATTCATTAATACAATAAATTATATTATTAAGTTTAGTCGGAAATATTTAATTAATAATCATTTTTTAGTAAAGAAAGATTATATTAATAAAGGTAAGTTTAATGCGAAATATATATTTAAAATGGAATGTGTAAAAAGAGAAATGATATGTAGATAATTAAGATCCCTTGTAGTTTTTATTTTCAATGCAGGAAATCTCATCCCTTAATTTAGTTATAATAGATAAAAAAAATGGTTTTTGAATGATGAAATATATCATCATCCAGTACTCGTCCCAAGCTGGTCGGATTTTTTTTTTTTTTTTAAAAGGATAAACTGGTCGGAACTTAATATTATCCCAGAAATATAGAATATACATTTATATATGATGAAATATACATTTATTGCAGCAAACAGTTTTTTTTATAGTAGTTATTTGTATAAGTAATTATCTTCAGGGTTGCTTAATTATTAAACAAGTATTTTTTTAAAATTAATATGTAAATTATTGTGTGAGTGTAAAAATAAAATAAGATCGGTTAAAAAACAGTTAACAATTTAAGTTCTATTTTTAGAGTAAAAATTAGTGTTTTTTTTTATAAATCTTGCATGGCGATCAGAACCCACTAAAATAGAGTTAATAACTCAAATTAAATTCTTGTATTAGAGATATTCTTAATACTTTTTTTGTGTGTATACAACAGCACAACAAAGTTATAAGTAGAATATTATGAATATTACTCAAATCTTTTTACCATTAAACAGCCCTAATTATAGGTGCTATTACATACTTAATTATGATATTCTACATTCTTCTTTTTTTTTTTTTAAATAGTTTTTTAATTAAAAGTTTTATACAGAAAACAAGAAATATAATAAATTAATTTCTTTGTTTTCTATAAAATAGTTTTGAAGCATCCTTATACTTTTTTCTTCTTTTTTTACATTGAGAGCAACTTGAATGTTGAGACACAAACCATTAATTGTGCCATGAGAACAATGAGATCGAGCTTCAAGATTCTTCACAAAATCTATGTTTTTGGATTTGAGTGTATAATTTTAGCATAGTAACAACATTGTAAACAAGTATTTTTGGTGTGTAAATTGTTTTTGTATGTCTTGAATGGACTCCCCATGATGCATTCTAAAAAAAGTTCATACCCATGGGTACGTGTGTGTTCATTTTGACTTTCTTTACCTCAATTGTAACTTCGTGAGTGACTTGTAAGGTAACTTACATATATATCCTTAGTAGATGACCATGTAAGATCTTAAAGAATTCATTCGTTCCTAAAGTTGTTGTAAACTTGTCATGATATTTTTTACCTTTAGATTCAATTACACCATTCTCTTTTTCTCATGTCCATAGGCTACCAAGCTTATCCTTTTCCTTAATGTTTTTTTACTTACTAAGGAAGGCATGGACCATTAACTATAACATCCTATATATCCATAACTATAATATCATTATGTGTTCACCGAAAATTTTTCATAATTTTGTTCATTTAAATATATATTTTTCAAACAATTTTACACTGATATATTCTATATTTATTGACAAATTGATAAAATTCCTTTGGGAGCAATATATTTACTAATTGATAAAATACCTATGGAAGCAATATTGTTTAATGAGCAATATCTTAGTGTAAAATTGCTTGAAATATATATACATACATATATATATATA